CTTTCCCTCTTACTTGTGGAAGAAGTAAACTTTTAAAAAAGTAAAGAAATTTATGGAAAAAGAAACTCTTTAGAAGAGAACTATCAAAATGATAATGTCGTAATCCCAGAACTGCTAAAGACCATAGGCAAAATCTTTTCTCTAAGACAAAAAAGAAGAAAAAAAAATTCTCTCACAGCTGGATTTTCTACACTCTTCATAGTAAATCCAAATCTGAAGACATAGAAAATAAAATAAACTTGTCAAAAAGGGATTGGTCATATTTACCTTTTTAATATTAAATCTTACTTGCTTTCACTGAGGTTTATCATTCATTAAACATACTAGCCATCGCTAGCCATAGTTTTACATTTAAAATTTCCCATTGTAAAATATGCATTTAAAAAAATATTTTCCCCCCATTGGTCTCTGCCAATATGATTCAAAATGCAAAATGAGAGCTAGATGGTAGCATGATAGTAACCTCAACTGAACCCATTTGAGAAAGGTCCCGGGTTCATATCCTGGGACTCCTCCGAGCATTCCAGGCATTCACATGCACTCTGTCATCCAGGCCAGCTGAGACTAAGGGACCCTAGTAGTTGTCTCTCTTTCTCTCAAGAAATAAACTTTAAAATTCCAATTGACAGTCTCATAATTCACCAACTTCCTCTTCTGTGTCTTCATGCAGTAATCATAGTAATACTACTGTATATTAAATATCTTCCTTGAGTCAGTGTTTGGTCGACCCAAGCTCTTGAACCTCACAACAACCCTGAGTAGCATCATTGCCTCCATTCTAAACATAGAGAGACCTAGTCCCAGGGAGATCCACCACCTAGCCCCCACCCATCTGGGAAGGGAGCAAGAGTGCCCTTCCTACTCTGCCATAATGCCTTATACTAAAACAATTCATGCATAAATTATGTCTTCTCTTTTTCTTCCCCACATTTAATTCTAAATAGTGTGCAGCCTAAATTCTAGAAAAAAATTCACAACCCCATAAAAAATGTTCAACTTAATCATCTTTTTTGTTGTTGCCAATTATTAAAGGATTATCATGGGTCTTGATTTCAGAACTGAAAAGGACAGAGATCCTTTCGAATAACCACCTGACATTACTAGGTTCTACTTAAACTATAAGGAAACCAAAATGGCATCACAATGGGAGGAATTCATGGGCCAATCACATCTTTTAAAAATATATTTCCAAGTGGTTACTTTCCCAACATTATCAGTCAGAACGTTTATTTCAAGCTGGTTACATTTTTCCATTTAAATTCAATCAGAAGATCTATTGCAAAGTGATTACTTTCTCAGATTTCTACATTGCCAGGACCAAATAATCATTAAACTCTAAGATAATATAGTAGGATCCATCTGTAATGATCAAGATGTTTACTCTGTTTTCTAAGGCCTTGACAGATCATATAGCTGTCTCCAGTTTTCTATCCAGGATTGCCCTCTTGACTTGTGTTCCTTCCTCCCCACTTCCTTCTCCAGGACTGCCCACCAGAAGCAGGTGATTTCCGAGCTCAGCAATGCTCAGCTCACAATGATGTCAAGCACCATGGCCAGTTTTATGAATGGCTTCCTGTGTCGAACGACCCTGACAACCCATGTTCACTCAAGTGCCAAGCCAAAGGAACATCCCTGATTGTTGAACTAGCACCTAAGGTCTTAGATGGCACTCGCTGCTATACGGAATCGTTGGACATGTGCATCAGTGGTTTATGCCAAGTAAGTGGTCCCTTCCTTTCATCCCATTTGTCTAGAGGGTTTATTGAATGTGTATAAATAGTTTTTACATAGTCCCACTGTCATAGTCACTCATTGTTACCCTTTTCTAGTTTATCAATAGTAACAAATTTGAAAACTGAGCTATAACATGAGTGATAAGTACAAGTGTTGTACTTTGTGTTAAGGAAAAATGAAGTAGAGTATTTTTTTCTTTAACTATTACCTAAAGAAGAACAATAATTCTTGAATACTGTGTATCCCTATGTATTAGACTTTGAAATGATCTCTCTCTTGTCTGTCTCTGAAGTGTGTGTGTGTGTGTGTGTGTGTGTGTGTGAGAGAGAGAGAGAGAGAGAGAGATTGGAGGCATTGGTTTTCATTAACATATTTCATTGAGACCAAGTCTACAATCTCCAGATAAACTATAGGAGAATGTGTTGCCTGTTTAGTATAAAATCCCGTTATTTAAGAGTACTTCAAAGTGTTTGTGGAAAGCAGAATTAAAGTACAAGTTTATCTTGGTGCAAAAAATGTTTGAAAGCCATGCATAATTTTTCAATAACATATACTTTCATAAACTTTTTGAAGACTCCTTATGCTGAAAATTCAAGTAGACTATAGAGAAAGTTATGGTGGTATCAGTTAAACTGGATTTCTTCCAAGTAAACCCTTAAAACAGGATAGCAAAGAGGTTTGATTTCTGGTATTGATTCATCAGTGTGTACTTGGGTAGGGAGTAAGTAAGATGAAGAAGAATTAGTATGTTTCCCATGTATTTGCCATCTTTATTTAAGGTCTACTTTTTGGATAAAGATGGCCAATCTAGTTTTTGGATCAAGAAGTTGATGTTAATTTCCTGTATGCTATTCTTCACTTGGAATTATATGATGGGAACCTGGTATTTTCAAGTATTTCTAGGTGGAACAATGGAGATGAGATATTAACATATATTTTATATACATATTTTACAGATATCTATATCATGTGTGTCATATGTATGAAGGCTTCTTTATAGGAAATAGATATGTGAATTTTAGATGTAAATTTAAATATAAAATATTACTATTTTAAAGCTACAAATAATCTCAGAGATTATATAATTGATACCTTTGAAAGCAGTATATTTAGACATCATGATTTGTGATATTTGCTCTTTATCTTTTCCTCTAGAACTCTCAGTATTGTTGAAAAGGAATTAATGGAATCTCAAAAGATTTAGGAATAGTAGAGAATTATAAGGAAGATAGATATTAAGAAGGAGGCTGTGTTGTAAGATATGGCAAATAAAAGAATAATAATTCCTTAAATATGTACACTGTTTGATTAAAGCAAGAAAGATTTCCATTTTGTAAATGAAAAAAACTGAGGACCAGTATATTTGTATGACCTGAAAGTTATATGGCTAGTCATGGGAGATATCAGACTAAATTCTAGATCTCCTGACATTAATCCAGTGTTCTTTCCTCACTAAACTACACTAGCAAATGAACCCTAATAAATAAGACAGGTTAGCAAATTAGGTTTCATTTGTTCCTATGACATGAGAGTTCATAGAAACTCTCTAAGCTAATTTTTTTTTCCCTAAGCTAATCTTGACAGCTGACCTCATGTACCTTGGCAAGTAAAAGAGAATGTATCTCAGCAGCTATAGAATACATTTTATGTATAGTAAATATGGAATGATAGTACCATAACTTGTTAGATTTGGGGGCCCATGTACATAATGCCATCTTTGAAAATAATTATGACATACATAGAAATTATGACTGGTTCTTGTTAGCTTCTTTTTCTTTTTTTCTCAGTTCAACAGAGGGCACATGCACTCACTGGAAAAGTGGGGGCAGGGAGGGGCAGGGGCAGTGAGAAATCAATCCCCGTGGAGAATGGTCATTTCACACTCTTTTCTCCTTCACTTCTGCCCTCCTTCTGGGATTCTAGGCACACATGCACATGTGCCCAGTGTTTCTCAAAAGCCACCTGGTCTGAGACTCAAACCATACAGTTGGCTAGAAACTTGGGGTCAGGTAGATTATATGACTTGACCAGGAAAACCCAGCTCTGCTTGGCTCTAAAGCTTCTGTTCCTTTTGGTGCTGCCATAAGTACAGAAAGTATGGGTACCAGTTGGTAATAGTCCCCAAATTTGGCTGCATACCAGGATCACCTGGAGAGCTCCTAAGAGATACCACCCTTGGATCCCATTCCCCAGGAACTTGGACTTAATCATTCTATGTATTTAAAATACTGTCCTTAGGATTCTACTCCATGGCCAGATTCATGAACCACTTATAGACTGGAAAGCAGGCAGGATGGAAGTCAAAAAAAGAGAGCTAGAATTTGACTCCTCGTTAATCAATTGTGTAATCTAGGCCAAGTTACTTAACCTCCCTAAACTCTCTTTTTCAAACAAGAGAATTGCATTGTGTCACAGACCACAGAGCAACAAGTGAAAGAGCTCATGTGAAAATGTCTAATAAACTGTAAAGTGCCATAGAAATATAGGAGATGCCGAGAATTGGGGGTTGAAGAGTAAATTAAAGTAGTGATTCCCTGTATGGGATTTCATAGCCCTGTTTATTAATATTTCAAAGAAATTTACAGAATGAGATAAAGTAACTGACTTCTTCATCAGTTAGAGAAGAGCATTAAAAAACAAAAAGAGACCTTCTACCATGTGCTTTCATCATTATCATTTCATAACTGAAATGTTAATAACAAGAAAGTGATAGGGTCCTCATTTCTGAATAAAGGACAATCACTTTAATTGAAGGTGGTTTGCCTTATGAGAAAGTGATTACTCTGTACTTTTTCCCTCTCTTTTTCTCCAGAGCACAGAAATTGTCACTAAAAGTGCTTCTCAGTTCAGCATTTAGGAAGCACTGCATTTGACATATCAAGTCCAGCCTTGAGAAATGTCCTTGCACTAGGCTGTGTGATTTTCCCAGGATCTTACAGCTTGGTAATAGCAGAGGTCAGAGAGTGCCAGTGTTTATCAACGATTTTTAAGCATGCTCCATACATATTTCTGCAGGATAGCCCACAGGCTGAGATTTTGTCCAATTTAAATTTTGTCATTAATCTTAGGAAAATGATAGGTCTAGGTAATATACCTTTCTAGAACCACTTTCTCCCCTTTCTCTCCCTCTGTGCTAGAATCCGATCATCGTCCCCAGGGTGTCATCTTATTAGTTTCTCTCCTTAGCTTTTATCTTTTTTTTTTTTTTTGAGAGATTTTCACTGTAGGGCGCGTGCGCTCGCCAGACAGACAGAGAGACATAGAGACAGAAAGCGAGAAATCACCCCCCAGGGAGGATGGTCACGCCGCAATCCCTTCTCCTCCATTCTCCTCTCGGGATCTTGGGCACGCATGCACACGCGCCCAGCGTGAGTTTTAAGCCACCGGGTCCGGGACACGAACCGCGGTCGACTACGTGGGAGTCCAGCGACATAGCCATTACGCTAACTGCTGGTTCCCTCCTTAGCTTTTATCTTAAACTGAGAAACTCTAGGATTTTTATTTGCTTGATATCATTCTAGACTAGGTGAAGTTGGAGGTAAGGCAGAACTAGGGAGACAGTTTTTCACAGTATGAATAGTTAAGAACAGAAGCTTGGTTGGAATTGCAACTCCACCATTCATTGGTGTGTGACCTTGAGCAAGTATCTAAGCCTCTGTTTCCTCACTTGCAAAGAGAAGATAATTGTAGTTACGTGATAGGATGGCTGTGAAGATTAGTAATCAAATGCATTTTACTGTTAGCTTAATAAACACTAGCTTTTTTATCGGGCTGTTGGAAAAGTCATAACACATTTTGACACATAGAAAAATATGTCATGACTTTCCCAACAATCCAACAGTAGTATTCAAATTATTTCTTGTCTTTTTTCTTCCTTTGGCCTTTCTGAATGCAAAGTTTAACCTGATTATACACACAAAAAGGGATACTGACTTTCCAATGAATGAACAGACTTTCTGTTAATTTCCGATTGCAGTCATCTTTTGCTAATAGCTCCACATTGTACCATTATCAACCCCTGATCCAGGGCAGTGAATTGCATCCTGTACAAAGTTAATGAGCCATCACAAATAGGATCAGCTCTATTAGTACTGCTGTTTTTCATTTATTTTCATTATCCGAATTACCCCATTTATATTTGTTGTAAAGCACAAAGCGGGTTTCTGTTTTAAATATTTAAAAAATGAAGTAGCATAAATTTACAGATAGAACATGTGCTGCTGTTAAAAATAATTACAAGATTCTTTTGAAAGAAAATAGAGGGAAGAAAGTTTTATTTTCATAATTTATGGAATGCATCAGTTGATATCTAATGTATGTATATCAAAAGAAAAAGTGGTTATAAACCAACTCTTTTATAATGAATCTGCATATTTATAATACTACTTATTGCTATTTCAGAAAATAAAGCATTTTTAGAAGAATTCCTTTCAAGGAATGCCCTTTATAATATTGTTTTAAAATGAATAATACTGTACAGAAATAAGTTATAAATTGGGTCATGGAATCGTGATGTCCATATTTTATTCTGGCAACATTAAAATGAACTCACTTCTAACAAAGGAGTTCTTTTCATTTTTAATCATTCCTGTGGTGAGTAGTTTGAAATGGAATGATTATTTCTCCATCTCTGTCTGTGACCCCAGTCACTAGTATCAGATGTCCACCAGTTATTCCAGAGGTGATGATATCAGAAACCAGAAGCTGGCCATTTTTTCTTGTGTTTTGTAATTTAATCCCATATGGAAGCATGGTCTTGTTTAAAATATTTAATGCATAGTCTTTCTTTTACCTCCCTTTGCATGATACAGTAAAGATAAAAATACTATGTTCTAGTCAAATTGATTTAGTTTCTGAACCTTCTCTGTATCTATGTCTTTACCTCTTCTTTTAAGTACAACAGTAATGTTGGATTAGGGTCCACTCTAATAGACTATGAGCTCATTTTAACTTGGTTATATCCAGATTATATATCAAAATAAGTC